CACATTGTTCCGGGAATTGGCAGGAAGAACATTCTGTAACTGATGGGGATGCGCGGTGGACAGTCGTACAGCCTGGCGGGTGAGGCGTGTGGGCCTGGGTTGGTGTGTCGGGGGTGGAGCCATTCTCGAGATAAGAGAGGGAGAATTATTGCAAAGGGCTTTATACAGAAGGCAGCGATGGTGCGGCGAATTATGAGGCTAGGAAGCCAGCATTGCGGATGTATTGCCTTGATGGCCCGCTCCTGCACCCAGTTCAGCCGATTCAAGTGGGAAGGAGCTGCCCCCATCCAGACGATTGGGCAGTACTCCATAACCGGCCGGACAAAGGCTTTGTAGGCTCGAAGCCGGGCAGGAATAGCCAGCAAGTGACATGCCTTGCGCAAGGCTCCAAGTCTCTGCGTTGATCGGACTACAGTTCGGATATGCTGGCTAAATTTTAGCTGATGGTCAAAGTGACGCCGAGTACTTTGATGGAGGGCTGCTCCTCGACAGGAGTTCCGTTGAAGACAATGGAGGGTATTGGCCAGTCCCCACGATGGTGGGAAATTGTAAAGGCCTGAGATTTGGCTGGCTCGAACTGCACTTTCCAATCCGAGCCCCAACTGGATACTAGGTCAACAGCAGCCTGGAGTACTCTAGCGTTGTCAGGAACAGCAGCGAGAGTTGCAATTTCGGCGTATAGGGTTGTGTGGTCGGCGAATGAGGCAAGGTTGGAGCCGATTGGGAAGTGGTCTTCAAGGTCGTTGACGTAGACCAAGAATAAGGTGGGGCCCAGGATACTGCCCTGTGGCGTCTGGCTGATGTCTGGCCGGAGATGAGGACTTGAAGTGTGCGGTTGCAGAGGTAGTCTTGGAGCCACCGATGCAGGTCTCCCGAGATGCCATACACTCTAGCCTTGTGCATTACACCAGTGTGAGACACCCGGTCAAATGCTCCAGCAATGTCGATGGCCAGCACTCGAGAAGCTCCTTTATCTCCTGCGGTGTGCACCCACTGGTGGTGGAGAGCAGTCAGCAGGTCTGCTGCACTGTGGCCGCAACGGAAGCCAAATTGCCGTTCTGACAGGACGTGATTCGTCTCCATGAAGTTGCTCATTGCCCTGTTGACTATGGTCTCCATGACCTTGGAGAGGATGCTCAGTAAGGACACTGGTCGATAGTTTGATGGCGACGATTTAGACTTGCGCTTGTGGACTGGAACCACGTTTGCAACCTTCCACTGTTGTGGCTGGATGCCGGAGTGAAGACAGCATGTAAATAGTTTTGAAAGCGGCCGTGCCAATTCTGGTTGGTTGGTTGGTTTTTATTTCACTTCGCACATTCAAACGGGATGACGACCCAATATAATGACGGTGAAGGCTTGGCCTAGAAGTGGCTATGGAAGAACATAGTAAAAGCTATGGAAGCACATAGTAAGAGAATAGGATACTAATAACTGCGAGTAAACGGGGGGAGAGAGAGAATACGATGTATCTGTGATACTACGTGAGGAGTACTGACTGCACGGGGAGGGAGAGCAGAGCGATCAGCAGCAACTCGAACTACTCCCTGCAGGCGTATGGTACACATGCATGCTTAAACTCGGGTAGCCGGGTAATTGTGCGGACCTCACCAGGGAGAGCGTTCCACAGCAGAGCACCAGCAACAGAAAATCTCCGCTGACCGCGGCGGCTACGGTTTGCCTGGCTGAGTAGGCCATTTGACAGCTGATGGCGGGTAGGGGTGCGTTGTGCCGGGGTCAGGAGCTGGGCTAGCACAGGGCTGGTGCGGGCGTGGATGCACCGCCAGACGGTGATCAATATTTTCTGCCTGTAGAGGTCGCAGACACGATACAGGGAGTGAGCAGTGAGCAGCGGCTGCATGGCTGTCCGGGGCGGGTTGCCATCGATACAGCGGATGGCTCTGTTTTGCGCGGTTTGCAGTCGTTTCAGTTGACCCTCTCGCATTGCGGCTGAAAAGCAGCAGGAGCCATAAAGCAGGTCGGGCATTATGACCGCCTTCACACACACCTGACGAGAGCGTCTTGATAGGCTTCGGCGTGCCCGCCACAAGGCGCCAATTTTCTTGGCATCCTTGGTGACTAGCCCTTTCCCAAAGGTGCTCGACCTTTTTTCGCCCTTTTTGGAAAAGCCCGTTTCTTTCGCCCTTTATTGCGTTTTTTGGTGAATATCGCCCTTTTTGAGCTTTTTTAGCTGAAAAAGTGCTAAAATCTGTTAACCCTCACACCACAGAAGAGATGAGCCATTGGGGTGTCGCAAGCTTATATTGAACGTGAGCACGACGTGATTATTGCGATCATGATGACGTATAACATAGTTCGCGTGAAATGATCGGACTGGGCCGTCTAAGGCCGCCCATCTGTAACATAGTATGATAGGAACAAATAACGCCATCTATCGGCTATGAAAGAGCGTTTGAAAGACGACCCATGGGGTCATGTAACAATCATAAAGGCTGGGTGTACCAGTACATTGCTATGGCAACTGCATGACCACTAAGTACTCGGTAGTACCCACAAGTATATTAATTGTATTGTCTGCGGCAGCCGATGGATGTGCACCATGCGGATTTCGTGCCCATCGGCAGAGCCCGTGCCTCCAAGAAAAGGGGGGCGTGCGGTGCTTGCGACCCGTGGCTCAGTAACGCCGCGGCATGCCTGCAGGCCTGCGAACGTACGTGCGGTAAGCTCCGCTGGACCACCGCCCGGCTGCCATCAAGGCATACTCCGGGGCACCTTGGTTCGCCATGTGCGTTGCGCCACCTGCACGGAGGGAGTGGCTACTGTAGCTGGGGCTCAGAACCCTGCGCAACACTACGTTGATGTCATTGGGCGTGAGCCATCGTCCATTGCCGAACTTGAAGAGAGGTTGTTCGTCGCTACCCCATGCGAATGATCTGACGTATGCATCGAGGGCCAGGACGGGGCATATTTGTGGGTCTGCATGGCGATGCGGCACAACCTCGCCACCGCTTGTCAGCTGCGATGTCTTCGTGCGTTGAAGCCGTAAGCTGGCTGTGGCCTGAGAGAGCACGAGGTGAGTGCGCCTGAGAGTTTTCAGGGTACCCGACCCTGCTGGCGACGGGGACGTGTACTCGCTAACTCGCAGCAGACCGTGGAATGCTGTCGTCAACGCGGCCCATAGCAGGGCTATAAGCGGAACGCTGCAGGAAAAGATGTAGTGCCTTGCGTTGTACGCCGGTGATAGCCTGTCTACGAGGCTGGGCAGTTGCGTGCCGTGGGAGCGATGCGCGTTCTCTCTCCAGGCCTTTCACCAGAGCGGTGAGCCGGCTGGATGCAAGGACTTCGACAGGTCCTCCCCTGCAGAGGAGGTTGTATCTGACTGCGGCCAGGTATACTTTCAAAGTGCCGGCACTGACAGAATGCGACATGGAAGCGGCAAATAGCAGGATGTCGTCGTGACGCGGTGACAGCGGGTCGCGGTGAATCTGTTGCATGAACTTGGGGAATGCGTGCCAGCCCGGGGCATATGTGCGTTGCGTGGCTGCGGCCACTGAATTGGATATGAGTTGTTCGGCTCGTGCGGAAAGTGCGGCGGCTGGCGAGCCTGGCAGAGAGGACGCAGGAGGAGAGATAGCGCGCCACATGCATCCACCAGCGACCGCGTATAGCAGCGCACATGCCCACATGCGCGCACATAAACACAAGCATATACACAAACATGCGCACATCCATCACCACCTGCCCTAGACAGCGGCTAGGAAGCGAGCGAGAAACACGATAGCTAGCCCTGCGTGCTGACTGGGACCAGCGGTACGTTGCGGAGGAAGCGACTGCGGTGGCCCTCCTGCGGGAGGTTGCTTTTCTGCGGATAGATGAGCGATCTGGGCTGGCGAGCCATCATGTGAGCGGTTGCATGCGGCAACGGCCAGCGAGCCTGGTATCAACACAACAAAGGACAAAGAAATTCTGTCAGTGCGAGTGACCCTGCTTCGTACGACCCACCCCCATGAGCGCAGTCATGATCCAAGGTGTAACGGGGCTCTCTGACCGGCGGAGGCCTACTGCCATGAGGCGTGCGAATTTTGCTTGCGGCTTGCCTATTTGATTCCCGATCTAAATGTGCCTATTGCGGTGGTCTCCCTAGGCAGCGGCGGGACCAAACTGCTCCCAAAAAAAGTGCAGGAGTCTAGGGGACCTGATTCAGTCCCTAAGCACACCGGGCGGCAAATCTAGAGGACTTGACTCGGTCCATAAGCACACAGGGATGCGATTCTAAAGGACTTGACAATCCGTAAGCACACAGGGTTGAGGCAGAAATGATAGGCAGTAACACCCCGGCGAGGGCTTTACAACTAGTGCAGAGGTGCAACGGGTGGGCGTGGCAGTAGGCTGTGCGAGCAGGAATACACAGCGGAAAAAGTAAAGGAAACAAAAGAAAACAAGGGCCGGCAGAAGCATAGTTCTGTGGTCTCAGGAGCAGAGTGTCCAATCTCGGTAACGGCGGACCCTGGATGGCGACTTCCTCACACTGCGGCGTGGATGTTTGCGAGTGACGACGGACTGAGGTTGGCCTCGGGCGCCAAGAGGCGGAACCGTGGGAACTGAGCGCGGCATAGGGCATCTGCGATACCGTTGTCCACTCCGGCGATGTGGCGGATAAGCAGACAGAAGTTGTGGCGAGCGGCCGTCCGGAGGGTGCTGCGTATGAGCGCCACGACTCCTGGGTGCCGGCAGGTGCCCGACTCCCAGGCAGCGCACACGGTAGAGTTGTCGCAGTGGAGCAAGATCTTCTTCTGCGTCCAAAGCGGTCCCCACAGCTGGCAGGCGAGGGAGATTGGCCACATCTCCCTCCACATGATGGAGGTGTATGGCGGCGTCTGTTGCGTTGCGGACCATGCGCCGGCGAACCAGCGACCTTGAAAGAAGCCACCGAAGCCTAGGCCAGATGCGTCCGTGAACAACTCAAGGTCTGGTGACCTAGACCACTCTGGGTCGCGCATAAGGGCTTTGCCATTCCAGACAGGTAGGAATTCCTGCCATCACCGGATATCGGCTAGGGCATCGCTGCTCAGGTGGACGATGGGCGATGAGCCGTGAGCGGAAGTGCATGCATCAATGAGCCGTCTAGTAAAGGTGCGTCCAGCTGGAAGAACCTTTGCTGCGAAAGACAGGTGGCCCACTAGAGATTGGAATTCCCGCCGTGAGGCGGTGTGGCGGGTGGACCATGACTGCAGCAGATGTTGCAGCGCGCGGAGCTTGTCAGTGGGAAGGCAGAGTTCCTCGGTGGCCGAGTCAATCTCGATGCCCAACACGGTGACGCACGTGGATGGACCCACCACCTTGTCGGTGCCAACTGCAGTGGGGACACCCAGGTTGTCGAACACCTGAAGGATCGTGGCCTTGTGGACTGCGGCTGTCGATGATGGCACCACAGTGGCTGGTGGTGATACCGAAACAAAGTCGTCGAGGTAGTGCTCGAGTGCGGGTATGCTGTACTTGTGGCGTAGGATCCACTTAAGCGCGTCTGCTAGGCGGTTAAACAAGCTAAGGGCGGGCCGCAAACCGAACGGCAAGACTGGGTCGAAGTAATACTTCGATCTCCATTGCATGCCAAGCAGTGGCCAGTCGTCGGGGTGTACCGGACAGAGCCGAAATGCGTGCTTCAGGTCCACCTTGGTTATCAGTGCGCAGGGGCCTGTTCTGCGAACATGATCGGCAATGCAGTCGATCATAATCAGTTTGAAGCGGTATTGGTCAGGGTCAATGAACGTGTTCACACTGTTCCCCTGCGGGGCGGAGAGGTGCATGATCAACCGGTGCCCGCCTGATTTTTTCGGGACCACGCCGACTCCTTATGTGCGGAGGCAGGCGAATGGCGGAGCTGTGAAGGGACCGGCCGTGTGGCCCCGCTGGCATTCAGTTGCGAGGTATTGGTCAACGACTTCGGGGTGAGCTGTTGCAGAGGACAGATTAGCACTATGAACAGAAACATTACGAGGCCCGGTAAAACCAATGCGAAAGCCAAAACGCAAGTCATTAATCAAAGCAAGAACAAAAGAGGGTTGGGGTGCATGCGCAATTCATCATGCAATACATCAATGGGGATGGGGGTGTGCGGTGCAATATTATAAACGAGAGAGCTTGGAAGCTCAGGGCCCTACGCTATGCTTTTTTGCCTTGATGACCTGGACAACAAAAAAAGCATAGGGATGTTATAAATTCTTTAAAAAATTCCTTTTTTTAAGACATAACCTGGGATTCGAACCCGCACTATCGCGCCCTGCATGCATCCCCCGGCCTTAAAAAAATTCCTTTTTTTCAAGACATAACCTGGGATTCGAACCCGCACTATCGCGCCCTGCATGCATCCCCCGATACACTTCGCATACATACTAATTCTTCCAAGTTGCTTCACATTATGATCTTGCATTTGAAAGCCCTATTTGAATATGCATTGTGGCCAGCCGTCTTTGATGGTACGGTACGGTAGGGATAGGTACGGGACAGGTACGATCGAGGGTAATACGACACCGTCTCCCGTACCGTACCATCCAACACAGCTGGCCACATACAGCTGCCCGCAATATTCACATAGGGCTTTCAAACGTAAGATCATAACGTGAAGCAACTTGGAAGAATGGGTATGAATGCGAAGTGTATGGGGGAATGCATGTAGGGCGATAGTGCGGGTTCGAATCCCAGGATATGCCTGAAAAAAATAGGAGAATTGAAAAATTCATAACATCCCTATGATTTGTTGCCGTCAGATACGGGATAGCGCCAGGCGTGACACAAACAAACAAACACACAAACACACAAATACCAAATTAAAGCTGTGTGGATCCTGGCTAGCGCCAGACGTTACTGAAGTAACGTCTTCTGCATAGCTACGGGAATAAGACTATTAAGAGAGGATACTGCCGGGGCTGCCTTCGCGGCATCGCTATTTCTTGGCTGGGCAGGCGGAAGCTGGGTGCTCTCCAGAGCAAAACATGCATGCGTGGCGAAACTTGCACGAGCCGACGCAGGTGCCGTAGTTGTAACGGCGGCAGGTCTCGTTTGGTTTTGCGCTGGAGCTGACACCTTGCTCCTTTGGCCTGCTCCGAAAGAGCTGTGTTGTGCAGGAGGCGGTCAGGTGCCCCAGCCTCTTGCAGTTGTTGCAAAAGGGGAGTGCCTGCCCGGTAAAGCAGGTTGCATAGAGCTCAGTGTCCAGGTCTGCCAGTGACCGGGACAAATCTTTCGACAGCGCCTGCCGTGCCCTGGTGTCGAATTCTACAACTGCTGCGAAGCGGTACTTGCCGGCGGCCTGGATGATTCGGAGTTGGTGAATCATCAGGGCTTCGGCGCATAGGTGATGTTCGCCTAAGGCAATCAGGCTGAAAATGGACCACGCCTCGATCCACGTGGCCAAGTTTTCAATTTTCCGTTTTGGAGCGGCGCAGACTGCCAGTGCCCAGTCGTCATCTACCCGGAATCTCTTGGGGTTTGGTTCGGCGGCTGGTCCCGGCTTTGGGGCAGCAGACAAGCAATATCGACATACTCGATCCGTTTTATTTTGTCAATGGCTTCTTGGGCCACATGCGCAATACAAGCGGGGGTGTGGTTGTGGTGCGTGACATCTGGGAACATACCGTTTGCTCCAGCTCGGAGTCAGCCACAGTGGTGTCCAGCCGGCGGGCTGTTGCCAAGTGCTGCTGCAACGCTGGTAGCCACAATCTCGGCGATGGAGTCCCTCTGTGCTGCTGAGAAAGCCATACTAAAGTTCTAAACGTTGAGGAATAGAAAACAAAATTGCGTGGCGAGCACTCACAGCAAAGCAGACAGCTGGCAAAATTACACCAGCCAGCAGTAGATGAGCCGTCTACGGATGTATCCACCAGGCGAAGGGTGGCGCATACGGGATGTCGTACGCGAGTGCGACCCGAATGCGGAACTCTGCAAGAGTGCGTGCTTGCGCAAGTCGGCTGCGGCGGCACAGCGGAGTGCGTAAGGTCACCTAAAGTCATCTTGCGGGAATATTCCCCTGCGGGGGCGCGGCCTGTGGCGTGCTGGTTAACTACGGTTTGCGCAGCGCAAACCAACATTTAGCTCTTGCATGCGATCACAGTTTCCGAGTGCTCCATGGGCCTTGGCACGCCGCTGTTTTTTGGGGGGGGGGGGGGGGGCGCAACAAGTTGGTGAAGCTTGTACACACAATGCTGTAAAAAGTGGGTTTTTTGAACTTTACTTCCTGTTTTGCCTTTCGTAGACCCATGAATGGAAGAGTGTGTATTCATTTCTCAGCTTGGGTTCATATCTGAACATGTATCATGGCTATGCTTTGCTGAAAAAAGAGCACTTTTTGCCTGTTTTCACTGAAAAAAGAGCACTTTTTCAGCATATTTTGAGGGACGCGAAAAGCACCAAGTGCGAATTAAAAGAGCACCTTTGGGAAAGGGCTATTGGTGACCACATAGTTTACATGGGTGTCCCAATCTAGGCGATTGTCAAGGTGAGCGCCGAGGTAGCGCGCTGAAGACGCTGAGGGGAGGAGACAGTCGCCGCTTTTGACAGTTACTTCCTGTACATGCTGCTGGGGAGAGATAGTCAGAACCTGGCTCTTGGTGGCGTTCAAGATGAGGCCTTGGTACTTCAGCCAACCAGCCAGAGCAGTTGCCGCTGTGGTGAGGGTTCTGGACGCTTCCGCCGCTGAGGCCTGGGAGTCGTACAGGGCTATGTCATCTGCAAATTGTACACTTGGCACAGGCGAGGAAACCAAAGGGACATCTCGTGTGTATATACTGAAGAGGACAGGGCCGAGAACAGAGCCTTGGGGCACTCCGCAGGTGCAAGCCAGAGCAGGGCTGGTTGAAGGCGAGATGAGGATCTGCTGCTTGCGGCCGGACAAGTAGTCGACGAACCGACTAAGGGCTTTTCCAGAAATTCCAACCGCAAGGAGGTCTTGGATTAACTTGTTGTGGTGCACTTTATCAAAAGCCTTCGACATGTCTAATAGGCACAGCCCTGTGGTCTTGCCACTGTCTCTCGCCTTCTGCAGATTATCAGTCAGCACACAGAGGGCGTCTTCCGTGGAACATTTCTTGCGGAAGGCAAATTGTGTTTCGGGTAATGCCTTGGTCAAGTCCAAATGACGAACTAACTGGTGTTGCACTACCCTCTCCAGCAACTTGGACACTATTGGGAGAAGGGATACAGGTCTATAGTTGGTGGGGACTGATGGGTCACCGGCCTTGTACAGTGGCACGACAGACGCCAATTTAAATGCGGATGGAATGGTTCCAGTCCTCAGCGAGGTGCAGAACAGCACAGCAAGAGAATATGCAAGCAAGTCAGCACTCTGCTGTAGCAGAGAGCCCGGTATGCCGTCACTACCTGTGGCTTTCCGCGCATCCAACTTCTCAAGGAGACGTCGGACGTCAGCAGGAGTCACAGGATCAAGTTCGGTCAAGGAGACGGGTTCAGCGGGACCGTGCGGGGTACAGAGTTGTTCAGGACAGTTGGGAACGGTGACAATGGAGTGGAACGTGTCGGCCACCTCACTGATGCTACAACTAGGATCTTGGTGGCGACGTGAACGCCCAGTGACTGCATTTAGAATGGCCCAAGACTTCCTAGGGTTGGCCACATTTTCTTCGCACTGACGGGAGAAGTACTCGTTTTGCTTGCGCCGATACGCGTTCCGAGCAGTGCTACGTGCTTGTTTAAACGCTGCATACAGTGTGCCGTTTGTCCTATCCTTCCCCCAACGGCTGTGCAGCCGCCGTTTACGCTGTTCGAGCTGGTGCAGCTCTCTGTCAGACCAGGGAGGTATCGCCCTCCGGGAAGGCTTAGAGTTGTGCAGCAGGGCATGCTTGTCCAAAACGTACAGGAACTTGGTGTGCCACTCTTTCCACATGCGATTTACATCATTGCGATCCGAGAAATCATGTAGAGAATCCTCAAGGATATCTTGCCGAAAAGAGTTAATATCAACGCCACGTATATTCCTGGTCAGCCGCGACGTCGTGGATGACGCGGGTGGAATGTCAACGGCAAGCTGAATAAAGGCTTCCACAGCGCTGTGGTCACTAATATCAGTGGGCACAACCGTTGCTAGGGACACTAGCGCCGGGTTGGTCAATATGAGATTGATCATCGTGCCTTCAGCGCACTGTGGAGTTTCACGGGTCGGCTGCACGACGATGTTCTGGAGGCCAAACGCAGCACAGAGGTCGGTGGGGTGTTTGTGCTGGGGTGCCGGATGGGCTGGGTCCATATTTACATTAAAGTCTCCAACTAGGGTCACAGAAGAAGACTGCACAGCTGCTCGTACAATATCTGCTTCCAAATCTGCCCAGTAAGACACTGGCTCCCCCGGTGGCCGGTACACGCAACTAACCAGGTGCCGACCTGGTTTTCCGTTTATTTCTACCCAGACTGTTTCTGTAGATTCAGAATGCAGATCTGGGCGGGATCGAACTGGGAGATCTTGACGGTAGTTGAAGCAGACTCCGCCACCCAAGCGTTGAGTGCGGTCTTTTCGAATCAGATTGTACCCGTCAATACTGAGCTCTCCATCTGTAATCTCGGGATCTAGCCATGTCTCTGATAGACCCAAGATGTCGTACTGACGCGTGCGGATGAGGCTGGCAATCTCTGGCAGTTTGTTTCTTAAGCTGCATGCATTGAGCGTGGTAATTTTTATGCCAGACTGAGTCGGCGTAGATGCATGGGGTATAAAAGGTGGTGCATGAGGATTGAGAGGGAGAGTCATAGTAGGGGCTAAAATGTTGATGCAGATAGATACAGACAAATGCGGAATAAAGTT